ACACCTGGGAACACCTTGAGGACATCCTGAGGGCACCTGAGTACACCTGGGGACACCTGGTGCATGCCTGGGGACATCCTAGAGACACCTGGGAACACCTTGAGGACATCCTGAGGACACCTGGGCACACCTGGGGACACCTGGGAACACCTTGAGGACATCCTGGAGACAGCTGGGCACACCTGGAGATATGTGGGCACACCTGAGAATCCCCTGAGGACATCCTGGGGACACCTGGGACACCTTGAGGACATCCTGAGGACACCTGGTGACACCTGGGCACACCTGGTGGCACCTGGGGACACCCTGAGGACACCCTGGAGGCACCTGGGCACACCTGGTGGCACCTGGAGACATCTGGGCATACCTGGGATCACCCGAGAGAAACCTGGTAGCACCTGGAGACACCCTGAGGACACCCTGGAGGCACCTGGGCACACCTGGTGGCACCTGGGAACAGCTGGGACACACCTGGAGACACCTGGGGAGAGCTGGTGGCACCTGGGCACACCTGGAGGCACCTGGGGACGGCACCAGGACAGGACAGGAGGTGGCACCGTTGGTTTCGCTGTGTGTCGGTGGCACCTGGTGGCACCTGTCACCTCCCCGTGCCTGTGGGCCAGGTGTGACACACCTGAGGTGGCACCTGGGCACACCTGGTGGCACCTGGACACACTTGAGGTGACACCTGGACACACCTGGTGGCACCTGGGCACACCTGGTGGCACCTGGGCACACCTGAGGTGGCACCTGGGCACACCTGAGGTGGCACCTGGACACACCTGGTGGCACCTGGGCACACCTGAGGTGACACCTGGGCACACCTGAGGTGGCACCTGGACACCTGAGGTGACACTGGGACACCTGAGGTGACACTGGGACACACCTGAGGTGGCACCTGGACACACCTGGTGGCACCTGGCCACACCTGAGGTGGCACCTGGACACACCTGGTGGCACCTGGGCAGGTGAGGTGGCACCTGGGCACACCTGGTGGCACCTGGACACACCTGGTGGCACCTGGACACACCTGAGGTGACACCTGGGCACACCTGGTGACACCTGGGCACACCTGGTGACACCTGGACAGGTGAGGTGGCACCTGGTGACACCTGGACACACCTGAGGTGACACCTGGACACACCTGGTGACACCTGGACAGGTGAGGTGGCACCTGGACACACCTGAGGTGACACCTGAACACACCTGGTGGCACCTGGACACACCTGAGGTGACACCTGAACACACCTGGTGACACCTGGACAGGTGAGGTGACACCTGGACACACCTGGTGGCACCTGGACACACCTGAGGTGACACCTGGGCACACCTGGTGACACCTGGACACACCTGAGGTGACACCTGGGCACACCTGGTGGCACCTGGACACACCTGGTGACACCTGGACAGGTGAGGTGGCACCTGGTGGCACCTGGGCACACCTGGTGGCACCTCCCGCTGTCACCTGTCCTCGCCCAGGGCTGAAGGGCTCTGTCCCCTCCCTCCAATTTGGGACAAATTCGGGACAATTTGGGGATTTTCCCCAAATTTTGGGGATTTTTTCCTCCCCCTTTTTTTAGGATTTTTTTCCCCCCAGTTTTTTCACATTTTTCCCCATCCAAAAAAAAAAAAAAAATCCCAAATTTTGGGCACAGCTGAAGCTCAAATTTCTGGGATTTCCCACCAAATTTTTACCATTTTTTCCCTTCTCGTAAATCCAAAACTTTCGGATTTTCCCCCAAATAAATCCCAAATTTCAGGGATTTTTTTTTCCCCAAAAAAATTTCAGGATTTTTCTCCACCAGATAAATCC